TGAATTGACGAAACATTCTTTCAAATTTCTCTATAAATGGAAATTGCTTCGAAAAAGTGATTTCGGTTAGTTGTGCAGAAGCATAAAGCGACATGTATTTTTTTTAATTTATTTTAGATCAGGTAGCAATTTGGCAACAAAATTGTTAAAATTTTTACATAAAAACATAGCTTTATGTGATATGAAAGATTGAACTGGTATGCAAATATCAGCGAGGCTCCAGGCTGCTCCAATTTTATTTCTGCCGCCACGATTTCGAGTCGCGATATGGCACAGATTTAGCAATATTTGTTAAGGAACGAGGTCGTGAACCTGATGCCCACTTTTGGGACACTATGCAGGTAACTGTCACGATTAATTATTCTACAATTTTCTTTATTCCGAAAGCGAATTGGATAGCTAGTTTGATTCAGGTTAGCGGAAGTTGGGAAAGCTGCGCCGGGTAATTTAGTGCTTGCGGTTGTTATCGATTATCGAAAGCGCGATTCGTTACCAATAAGTATTTGCGCTGTGGGACATAAATATCGCTCGCAACGAAAAGCTGTGATTTGAGGCACAACAAAATATCGGTTGGCTGGATATCGCGAAATTACATTTGATGCCTAATGTTAAAAAATATTTTTTCTCTCGGCGTTAACAAACAAAGGTGTTAAAAAATTGATCTTTCGTTCATAACAAATTATATCAGGATGTTGCATAAAGTCTTTTAGTGTACTGTAAAAATTTTAGAGAAAATAAAAATAAGCGAAAAAAAAATTAGAAATGAGTAAAGAAATGAGTATAAGACATGAAGTGAAAAATATTAGTTAAAAATTGTGAAAATTATTTAAATTATATTTATTTTCATTTTGATAAAAGCGATATCATAATTGTAATAAAATCACTTTTAAAACGATAAAATAAAAAATAAAAATTTACTTTTTGTTACTGAATGTCGGAATCTAAAAGATATATATGCTGATGTGTATCCATTTAATGATATACTTCGATAAATTTTTCGTTATATAAATTTTCGAAATTGAAAAAGATTGAAATGGATTAATCTTTAGTATAAAAATATATTTCTTTATTTTTATCTTATTTCTGTTACATGTATTGGTATGTGAATCTGTATTTGTTTTAATTCGACAAAAAATATATTTTCAACTTTATAAACACATTTATAAAGTACACTCATAGTCAGTCGTTACATCCTCATAGTTACATCCTCGGAGACAACTAGACACTAGGAAACTTCATTGTTACGCGATTCTCAGAATAGATTAGCACATTGAGATAAGGAAAGATACGTTCCCTCATATATGTATATCTCTAATTGCGATATGCGACATACTACAATGATAACATATCGCAACGTTATTAAGAGCAGACTAATCTCATTAATATCAAAACACAAAATAATATAATAAGGAAATAATGATCTGCTTTTATGAAATAATAATTTTTTATTGTTATTAGGATAAACTGCCAGAATTAATATTATGAATTAGCTCTAGAATAGAACAGCCTAGAACTCTGCTATACATATTGGGTTTATTTGACCCAAAATATAATTTATTTTTTACTAAATTATACTAAAAAGAATTTCTTTCTAATATTTGATGATTTCATTTGTGTGTGTTGACGTAAGATCCTTTTTCTGTGAACTTTTTTTATTTTTTACTTTTTATAGAGCTTTTAATTATTGATTCAAACGATATGATCGTAAATTTGGACAAATTAGCAGGATTAAAAAAACATAGTTTATTATTGAGACATCTATGATATTTTGACAAGCGATAAAGCTTCATAGCATAAATAACGATCAGTACAGTCCAGACTCGCCCTTCTGATTGAACACAAAGGAGATAGACCAAAGGGACTGACTCTCAACCTCTCTATAACCCGCCCTTACCGTCCTTTTAGGCAAGTCCTTCGTGCCGGGAATCGCCTAACGAGTCGGAAAAATCAAGTCGCCTTCACCGAGACCAATCGCCTTTACGTTGTCGTAAAATCGTGTCTAATTAACTGTAAAAATAACGAGATTTTTACGATATCGTCGCAAACTGTCATTAAGATCAATTTATAAAATTCGGCAATGCAAAGTGGAACGGCAATGTAAAAACAAAAGTGGAATCCTATGCTTGAAGTACGAACGGAAATAAGATTGAAGTTGATTCCTTGGTAAATGATTAATTTGGATCTTCCATTTATATGTACGTTTCTTTGCTAGTCTTTAAGTATTTTTATATTTTTATAATTAAGTTGCGATTAAATGAAATAAAACAGTATCTCATTGTTAAAGCGGATCTTTCTGAGACTTAATTAGAAAGTGAGATCCTACTACTTTTGTAACAGAATCTTGCTTTCTAATTAAGAGCAAGTAAATGTAAATTTTTCCGACTCCCTTTACCCGAACTTTTCTAACTCTTTCGACGTTAAATAGCAATTAAACTCTTCACTGTATTTTCCCTGTAGGATAATCGGTATACTTTTTTTCTTTCTTTTTTTTTTGCAAGCATCGTATTTCACGTGCCTTCAATTAATCTGAGGCACATATTGTAATGTAAAATATAAAAGAATAGACTCTTGATCGTTAGCTTACCGAGTTTTGAAGGCTTGGTATCGAGATAAAACGATAATGCAGCTTATCGGACTAGGGGAGAGTGGCATCCTTTATTCGAGGGTGCGTCGCATCGTCAGATTTGTCTCGTTAGAGTTCGCATTGTGTCTGCCTATGGTCGATTTACGCTCTCTCGTTATAACCATTCGCCGTCTTCCGTTACTTTCTTGAGCCTTCTAAAGACTCCTAGCCTTCTTTTTCTCCTTTCTTACGACCTAACGAGCTTCCATTAAGCTCACAATGCGTATTCTTGTTTGCGTGTGATTGGCGGTATTTATTGTGGCTTATACATTATACGCATACAAAGAGAAAAATTTATTTGAAAAAAGAAAAAAAATTGAATGAAGAATGATAAATATATGCGCACATGTAAGAACTTTCAGTAATCGATACAGATTGTAAGATAAGATTTACATGATATTAATGAAAATACATTTCAGAAATATACTAGGATTTCTTGAATAAAAATGTTGTAAGAAATAACGGTAGGTTTTTGCGTTTCTTTTGGAGCAAACTGTAACTGCTTTAAATTAATTACAACTTCAGAAAAAAAACGATTAACCTGAGTCTTATAAATTTGGAACCATTATATAACATTTTCAACCATCTTAGAATACATAAGAGATATAATATGATTATGTGAACTCCCTGAATAGACTCGGACATCCGTGGCTCTTTTCAAAACTTTTTTCCCTTCTCAGTTTAAAATATACCGTACTTTCTCACTAACAAGAAAGTATCATTAGCAGGGATCGATAACCTTCGTCGAGCTTCTTGTCCCAACTTCTAAAGTTACGGCATTTAAAATTCCGTTTAAGACTCAACTTCAAAGTTTCTTCTTAGGCCGTAGAAATTACGAGCATATCAGTACTTTACTTTCGGTAGATAGGATCATTAATTTACAGCAACTCTTTTTATCTACGATATCTTTTGCGTTTATTAGTATTTATATGTTTTAGTTTATGCATATATGTATATATAACTCGTAATGTCAGTGATAATAATAATAATAATAATAATAATATTGGTAACAATAATAATATTGTTTTGTAATATGCATTTGTAATTTTATTACATTTATATAAAATTCCAGTGGTCTGTGTACCGAATATTGCGACAAAAAGTATCGCTTGAGGTACACGATAAATGTTCACGCGTTTTTATACGTTTTATCATGCTGCCATTTTTCATTTCTTGCACATGTCGTGCATTAAATTAACTCTTTTATCGTAAATATAAAACATAATCGTAAATCGCGAATTACGACAACGTTATATTAATGTTTTAAATGAAGCAAGCATAATATTTCATGTCATTAATAATACTACAAAATTTATTGCAGTATTCTTACTCTGTCATATCACAAATTCTCTCTATCCATAATATAAATATTATATCATCTCGCGTACATTATGCTATTAGAACAATTATTATTTATTCCGGAAATCAAGTTTGAATTTAAGAATTATTATGTATAATTTATCCTTTATATACAATCTCTCAAAGCATTAAAGAATTAAAAATTAAAAAAATAATTTTAACTTTGATATTAATTATACTTTGATTAATTCTATTTTGAATCTGCTCATTTTAAATCTTACAAATTGTTATAATATATTTTCTGGAATTCTATATTTTGGCTAATATTGTTTTTAAAGTAAAAATGTTATATTTTGCTGCTATATATTTTGTGTATATAAAAAATTCACGTATATAAAAAATTTTCAAATTTAATTATTCTTTTATTACTCTTCTATCATAAAATAGAATTAATATAGAAACAATCATATTTATTGTTAACAGAGAAATATTTTACTCTTAAATAAACATTTTTTAATCTGAAATAAAATTATTTTGATATATCGGTTTTGTGTAAAATACTACGATGCCATAATTGTACGTTACGACATTAGGTAAAGATTTCTTCTAAACGTAAGAATATATAAATTTACATTTATATGTTAGTCTTGCTTTAGGACAATCTTGTTTATAAAAATTAAAGACTCCCGATAGATTGAAATAATAAATTAATTATAGACAAAAAAAGCATTGGAAGCTAGCGCGGAAAATGATGCACCAATTATTATCACAAGTCTTCAACTATACAATATTTGTATATATTATATTTATCTGTAATTAACGTTTCATTAAAGACTCGTAATAATAATTTTGCATATCGTTTTTTGCGCTGATTCTCAACACCGTTTTTGTTTACAATTAATTTATTATTTCAAAATTATTTAATTTGAGGAAAAAAAATAAGAATTATTGATTTAATCTTAATATTGTTCTATTTTTATACTATCAGATTGCGATATTAAGTATATCAGAAATTTTTTATTTAGTTATTAAAATTTTTTTCAGAGAGGATAAGATTTGTGTTTGCTTTTTGTCACAGCGAGCTCTCCGGAACCACGTACCTGTCCATACTTGGGCAAGTTCACAGTGACGGATGTGAATCGGAATCAACGGAACACGCGCGAAAGCCGCAGAAGTCAGCATCAGCAAGAATCTTTGTCCATCCGACACGATGGCGAGAAGGTGCGGCATGCCCAAGAGAGAAATGAGGATCGGCGAGGTCGTAAGCTGGATTATGAGGTCGAGAAGAGGCGGACCAACAATGAGTATCTCGTCCACGAGAGGATGGGTCGGCGAGCACGTTCGAATCGCGGCAACCGAAGTCGTAAGGACTACAGCCTGGAAGAAATGTCCTCATCGAGAAGAACTTCGGAGCTAGAGGAGACTTTCCGGGATCTACGAGAGCGCGCCTTGCGATCGAAGGTTAGACGATCGGGCGATCTGGAGCAACGCGTCGCCGAGAGCTCACATTCTAAGACGAGGAGATCGCGCGCTGTCGAACACCTCGAGAAAGACACGATGGATCGCGGAAGAGTTGACAAAAACGAGGGCGAGACGATTGAAGACGAGGTAAATTCGAAAGATAAGACGAACAGATCGAGAAGATACCCAAAGATAGAAGACTTTCATCCGTATGACGTTGATACAATCAGACGGTTTTGGGCCGCCGATTCGGACGACAGCTGGACCTCCAGTACATTGCAAGTGCAAGGCGATTATTTCGGGGATTATTTAGACGCCGATAGCCCGCCGCGAAAGAGATCCGCGTCGGGGAATCCAGTCGACAAGGGTATGACCTATAAGGATCTCCTGAGAATGAAGAGGGAGCTCGAGGAACACGAGAGGGATGAGGATATTCCCGAGAGGAGGGAGAAGAGAAACGAGGATGACTCGAGGTGCAGTTCTGAGGTGACGACCTTAACCGTGGGTTGCTCCACGGCGGACAGGATGGAGTTTCAAAGTGACTGCGTCAACGACGACGCTATCACCGGTAATTATCTACCTTTTCTTTATTGTCATACCGAGAACTTTAACCGCGTTGACCTCTTGAATACAATCACAATATCGCGAGCGACGAAGGAGGATTATTTTTTCAAGGCATTTTGAGTGTAGAATTCGAGAATTCATAAGAGTTTGTTCTAGCAAGAATTCTCTTTGTGAAGGAAAAGATTTCATCACTACAACTTAATTCCTATAATTTTCATTAATTATGCATTTTTATTAGGAAAATTGCGTATCTTATAGAAAAGAAAAACATTGATTCCGATCAAAGAATTCATAAGTGACTCAATAGATCTCATATTAATTATATGGAAAATTGAGTTTCTGTGAAATGAGTTACTTTCACATATAACATAGTTTATAATTATGAAAAAGATGTCGCGGACAAGGTTTAATAATGGATAATTTTTTAACTACTTAAAGTAAAACTGTACTCACAAAACATCTTATTAAAAAAACTGTTCATTATTGAACCTTGTGTGCGTGTGTGCGTGCGTGCGTGCGTGCGTGCGTGTGTGCGTGTGTGTGTGTGAAAGTTGGTGTGGTTGTGTGTGTGTGTGTGTGTGTGTGTGTGTGTGTGTGTGTGTGTGAACATCTTTTATTCACTACATCACAAGTATACATGACAACTAACTTATTTCACCAGGATCTAAATTTCCAGACCTGTATTGCAGAATTCTTTGAAGTAATCTATCTAAAAGATATGACAGATATTTTTCAAAGAAAAAAAAATATATTTACACTATCAGTTCAAGAAAGAGAAATGATTTTAGGAAATGTCTTAAGAAATAAAAGAAATAAGAACCCCATTCCATCAAATAATCACCAATAAGGTAATAATCAGGAAATAGTGTTAGTATAAAGCTCATATACAATAGAACTCACCAACGACATAATGCTTATCGCGCTTACAAAAGTATTATCCAGAGATAGTATAACAAATGCGAGCCTTTCAGTATTAAAGCGACGATATTAACGCGCGCGTTTCTTATCGAGCCCAAAACTTGCGCCCCGTTTATCAATCTCGGTAATGTCGTAACTTCATTACGACGGTCGAAGTGATACTCAAGCACGCTCCCCTGCCGCGATTCCGCATCAAGATCGAAATGCCTGAATGTTTGAAAGAACCGCGAGGCACATCGACTCCTCACCTCCTTCCCTTTTCGCTGTGTAGACTGGCGCTTCTCAGTCCCATGGATATTCTCTCGACCCTCGACACCGAAGTTTATTTCGGGAGGAATAATGGCACTCGAAGGGTAACGGCCGTCGAGACGCCAACCCCCCCCCCCTCATCCGACCGTTATTATCCCGAAACTTTCTCCAACCCTCTCGTGTTTCGCCAAGACCTCTGGCAGCCCCGTGCTTTCTCTTTACCTTTCAGCCTACTCCTGCCACGGTAGATGGTTCGACGCCGAGGGCACGCAGTTCGTGATCGCCACCCCGTTGGCGCGCAGAACAGCGTGGTCGAACAGCGAGAACAACAGGGCGCAGCCCTACAGGAACAGCCGTAGACTGTGCTTCATGTACAAAGAGAGCGGCGGAGTTGTCAGTTTAACTGCCAGCACCATAGCGTGTCAGAGGGGCATCCCACCGCCCACGCCGATGTTGGCCTTCAACGCTACCAGCACCGGTAAGTGGCAACCTCCGTCAACCCTTTCGCTTTCCGTCGCTGCGCCATTTCATTCTCGGATTAGCATTAATTTGAGAACATTAGATACTAGAACACGCAACATAGTTTGATATATTACGTTAGAAACATACATGAAATAATTTTAAATTCGTTAATATTTCATCAAATATTGTTAGTGAAAATATTAAAAATATCAAAATTTAATGATTATATATTTGATTTAATTATTATTTAAAAATACTTTATCAAATAACGTTAGCCAATAATTAATTAAATATCGTTAGCGGAAATATATCTGTACTAAAAATATCAAAATTGAATTATAATATTATATATTAAAATTATAAAATTTTCCATACATTTGATTAAATAAGTCTATAAAGTCTATAAATTCTTCCATTATCCAATTCACCCAAAGAAATTTATTTCAATATACAGATTGTTAAAGAAAGAGAAATGTGTAAAACAAGTTTCTTGATGTCTAAACAATAAATATAAATTTTATATCAAAATATGGACATGTTTTCTTGATATCGTGGGAATTTGGCAAACTTATTGCGACTATATGCCCGACCGGGAAAACGCGACGAGATTCTCCGTCCTTCTGCAAAACGTTCAGTATACTCCAATAACTTCCCTGTGACATGAAGGCTGCGCCCATCCAATCGAAATCGCGGAGTCAGCGATTGTCATCCATTGCGCCGCTCGAAATCTCGTCGCGGAGGTGCGTGACAGCCACGCATAATCTAGCGCGACATTTGCGTAGCTCTCTGTGACAAATAGACTGCGACAGCGCGTTGATAAACGCTGAATTATGCGTCACCAGACCTAAGGCTATCTCATAGGCGCGAAATAATCATTAAATATGGAACATATATTACTAGCATTAATCATGATATTCATTTTAATGGCAGTTTTGATGTAATCAGATGTTATTATTGTAGGGAACATTGTAGGGAACATTTTTTATTTTCTCTAGGATTTAAATTATACAATAAATGCAAGATTTATATTGATCATAATTAGAAAAAAAAGTGATATATTAATTTATAAAAGAAACATTTAAATAATTAATTAAAAAAATATATCTTTCACACTCTCTGCTATTATGTCCAAAATTATTGTATTAGGTATCCTTATAAATTTTATAATTCTTATATAAATTAACATAAATACAATAAAATTTGTATGACTTTATTAATAAATTAGTAATATTTAATATTTTATTACACTTCTTTTTTATTATTTGTTATTTCCTCAGTAAATGTTTACTTATAACGAGAGGCTTATAAGGAGAGCTCTGCTTTTCACCGATTTTTATCAAACTTGCAGTAATGTTAGAGGAGCCTACCAAATAAACATTTATAAAACCAGTAAATAAATCTTATTAAATCCTACCTTTTTATATAAAACATTTCTTTCAAAAATGGATTTCCAAGATATTAGACTGTTTCCAGATTTTTGGTATATTTTTAAATGCTCACACGCAGCTTCTAAAGGCCACAAATGGCTTTACAGTTGTTTAATAGGCTCCTCTAATATCGCTGCAAGTTTGATCAAAATCGGTGAAGAGCAGAGTGTAGCCTCTCCTTGTTCAAAGAAATATGTATTAAGATTTAGTAAATTTTTTTTCAGTGTACGCATGGATCTTAACTAATTTAAAAAAAAAACTAAAAAAAGAAAGAAATTTATTTTTAAAAAACGCTAATTAATAAGCGATATCTAATAATTTTATGCATGTAGAGAGAGACTGTGGAATTTTATATTCAGTACGTACATTTACGAAGAAAATATTTAGCACGTATTACTAATTGTAAAAAGTTTTTCGCATATGTATAAGAGAAAGAGATGTTGGACTAATCATATACGGAAAGAACGATTTCACTGAAGTATCTAAACATAGTTGGCAATAGATCTGAATGATGCAATAATTTTGTTAGAACATTAAAATGATTACGTAAGAAATATTCTCAAGCGTGAGCAATGCTATAAAAAGTTTTGATATTCTAACAACTAGCTTGAGCGTGCTACATAATTATTTTTATGGTGCAACAGAATTATTTTCAGATCTGTTTAGCTAAAGTTTTAAATACTTCAGCAAAATCATCTTTTCCGTAAATATTGCTTAGCTAAGAAGCAAAATATGCATTGCTTCTATTCTCTTAGGTATAAACCTAAGTATACGAAAATATACTGTAAGATGGTAAAAATTGGCGACCTTCTATTTGCAGGCCAGTGCATGGAAGCGAACGGCGGACAGATCAGCCGATCGACGTACCTGACGATCGTCCTGCTGACGGCGGTCACCGTGATATTCAGGTGATTCTAATCGAAAGCACGACAATTATTCGAAATCAATTAAGGATCGAACTCAAACGCGGTGTCGGACACTCAGTGAAGATCGTTATAAGAAATATTCGCGATACAGTGATCGGCCGTGCGTGGCTCGATCGATCGGGCAGTATGTAACAACTGCAGATGAGTGCGATCTTAGACCGTGAATAAGAAAGATACGGAAAAAGAGGAGCTCATCGACCGATTAGACAATCGTGCTCGTGGCTCCTATTAGTTTCTTCAAACTGTCGTCGGGAGAAACTCGCGTTCGTGCGATCGTCGTTCCAAAGCCAAAGCGCAGTCGGCGTCGTCGATGAAACGGATAAGCATTAACGAATGACGAACGACAGAATCGCACGAGAGATCATCCTGCGAAGAACCGATGAAAGATCCGCAAAAAAAGCTCCTGGATTTTTGCAACAATTCCGGCGTGCACGATTTTATTGGGGAGAGTTAGACGTCGAACGAATTACGTCGGTGGCATAAATCGCGATCGAAGCGATCGAGAGAACAGCTCGAGCGTGAGTTTTCCCTGGCCAATAGATTTTTTTACCAGACGTAGCGCGTAGGCACTAAGGTTGAAATCGGGCGAAGCTGACGGAGTTGTTAGGCGATTTTTATGGTTAGGCCATATCACGATCGGTATCGCGAACGAGACGCGGATCTCGGTCGAGGGGCCGCAATTCGCCCTCGTAAGATCGATCGTCCCGGAGTCCTCTCGTTCTTGATCGATAAGACGCGCGATCGTTACTCTTTAGGACAAACAGAAAAAGATGACTACTACGAAGAGACTATATTCTCAATAAGTGCAAAAAAAAGAAAGGGAAGAAGCATTTACTCGGTAAATATTTTCTTCGCCGGGCGCGCGCACGCTCATTTCTTTGCTCATTCTCGGGCATGTACCCTCAATAAGTACCGAGTATCGACGATATGCGTAATAATTATATCGATTAATTACAAATAATATACGCTATCGTTTTTTCAACGGATCGAGGCGGATCCCCGCTTGTCCTGAAGTGACGCCACAAAGAATGAAGAGAAATGAATCGCGGGTGAGTTGCTCGTTCTTCATAAGACGAGCTTAGCCGAACGAGAGTGGTTTAGCTGAGCGACAAATGGAGAATGAGGATAGTGAGCCTTAATTAACATGGCGGAGTCCTCTAGTCGAGGACTCACGATAAGAACAAACGTGTAATATTATTTCATCCCGAACCAGTCGAGGATTAAAGAAGGTCAAGAGATTATTAAACGAGACTAGGGACTCCGTTCTGGATGTCACCATGGTACACCGGTTTTCTCTTCCTCGGGACTCACACGGCTCACCACATTTTTCTTTATTCATGCGTCGAGAGGGGCCGCCGAGGAAATCGCACGACGCGACGCGTCCCTCCGCGTAGAAAGGCAGACGAGTGATCCTTTGATCTATATTTTCGCTTCATTAGCATCTCGTTAGACGCGACGCAAATGCAACAACTCCCCGGCTGATCCTAAGTTTTTATTCGTCGAAGATAAAGATCACGTGCGATGTCACCGTCAAGTCGGGGGGATTGCCTTTAACGTTAAATGTACGGTGACAGCGCGAGATTTTTGTCTCCTGATGAGCAGTCGATTAGCTTAATTAATGACGGGACGTGCACGGACAACGTCTCTTCGGCGATGACCCGCTCGGCGCGAAATGTTAATATTAAGCAATAAGCAATAAAGAAACACGAAATATGTATACAGAGACGTAAACACACGCAGACACAGACGTTTACGCGGTAGCAGTACGCTCGAGAGAACGGTGATAACGAGGAGATAATGGAATCGAGCGTGAAGGCGTTAACTCGAAGAAGGAACTCAATCAGTTCCGATTTTCGCAATTAATGACGTCAAGAAGAAGGCCGAACGGTGTAGGATGCTACGATATTATTGTAACTAATACAGAGTCTATATTATATATATTATTGTACAACCATCTTTGTAATAATTAAGCTGTAATCGAGTGACGAGAGATGTAGAAGGAAGAGACAAACAAAGAGGAAGTTAGGAACAACAGACAGAGTGAGTGAGAACTGAAGCGTGTGTGTGTGTGTGTGTGCGTGTGTGTGTGCGTGTGTGTGCGAAAATGAAAGAAAATTGGAATGAGAGGGGGGACTGGGGCATGAAAAAGAGTGAACCATAGGAAAAAGCCAATCGCTATTTTAGCACTTTTTCAATCGCGTCGTACGTAATTTCTACGCCATTAAGATTTTTCGTCGGATTTTGGTTTAATCAATCAACGATGTCGGTGAGATCGATTCTTGAGAGGAAGCAAGATGCGATGAAAGTCTCATCGAGCCGTCATTCGCCGTTCGTTCATCCGCGTTCAATTACTTTGTTCTTTCTCTCGTCGATCTCAATCGAAATTGCTTGTGATGCCGTGACCTACGTTTTCGCAAGAATTTCGTTGATTCGTGTTATTTGCGTTTATACTTTTGCTCCAGTCGGTCGTCGAGATTGTTAAGGTGCCTTTTCATGCTGATGCTCGATACTCATTTTCAGCGTCAAAATAGATTATATAATTAAAATTGACGCTAGACAATGCATGAAAATGATGTAGCGTTATGTATATGGCGTTCATTTTTTTTCTAATACTATAACAACATTGTAACGTTCCAGCAATATTACAGTAATATTGCAAACATTGCAATAATGCTGTAAATTTCTGTGCTGTATAAGAATAAATCCTACTTTCAGCGTTTAGACGCTAAGCGTTATATTAAAATCACGCTAACGCTACTCTTTAATTGGTACTTTCTAATTGTAAAATCACTAAATACTTTCATGCACACGGTGATACAAGTTGTGTTCCAATTGTTGTAATCGTCGACAAAACACTACACATCGATACTCAGCTTGAGAGTTACTAGTGATTGGCTGCATAAATTTGTTTTCTAATAATAATTGTTACTAATCATGGCTACTAATAATTAAAATTGGAGATTGAATAGCCGGTATTTTTTTTTTATTCATTACAAGCGAAAAAAGCTACAGCACACTTTATCTCAGCGATGTTCTTGCGAATGTTCTCAGAACATTGGGACATTTTGATGTTCTCCAAAATGTCTCTTGGACATCTGTGTTATATGGATTTAATCTATCGTACACATTCTGTTTAGTTAAGTCGTGTACAATATTACAATATTACAATATTTGTGCATTCCTGTGTACGTTTGTGTTAAGCAATTGGAAAACACCCAGCATCTCAAATGAAATGGCACCTTTAAGCATCGCATGTTATTTCACGCCTACTCAAGGATCCTCTCGGACAACGCACTTCATCGGGCAGTGTCTCCGTTTCAGGGTTCTCAGAAGAGAAGGGCTCGATCGACTTTCGTTGACTTCTCGGTGGATTCGTATACCGTGAAGATATTATTGTCAGTGCGCACAACAACTACGAGTATAGCGCGGTCTCGCACTACGCGAGCGGTGCATTCTCATTTTTCACCGACAGGTAGGACTTAAGCTATTTAGGACACTTAGCGATTATCACATTAGGAGCCATATTGTACCTACGAGCGCAGCGTATACATATATATAGCATATATGAAGTAGTGTTAATATCGGGTCTAGCCATTAAGATTTCTCTAGCTTCTTAGGGATAATAAGCTCATTGTGAACAACAATCAGATCTGATTTAGATGCCCCGCGGTCACAAATCACGTGTGTACAATCCTGATGAAGCCCAATCGTCAATCTCGCGTCTAACGACGGGAATTCCGTGATAATTCAAAGTCTAACGTCGAGGGAGTGTGCGACTGTCGATGGGAAAACATAGAATACGAGTAATCTACTCTACTCTGTTCTAGGAATTAAAAAAAAAAAAATCTAAAATCAATTTTAAATTTCCTGAATTTTGCAATGTCAATTTTTGCGAACTGAACTTTTTGAGCTAAAGCTTTCTAACAAAACAAATTATGGAAGGTCTTGTTTTTTGAAGGTTTTTACGATCATTGATTTTGATTCTAACCTCAGAATTCTAAAATTCAAATTTAAAAAAAATAATCTGACTATCATGAAACTCAATTTTAAGAGATTCTTGATATCGCTGAGTTTCATTCAGTTTTCTGAAAATTCGAAAGGGTAGTAACATCGAATGAGAAAGGATCTAATGTTACAAGGCTCATAATCAGAGTTTGAAAGTCAATTCGAAAATCAGTATTAACTGTTTGCATAGCATTGATGAGCTTTAAATAACGTGAAATTGGAAACTAGATGTTATTTCACAATTAAAAATTTCCAAAAATCGTATTTTATAACTGAAAAATGAGATCTTTTTTTTAATTCTGTCCGCCATAATTATCAAATTACCACAAATTTCATAAAAATTAAGCGAGCAATGTACAAAATAAAAGGAGGTGACCCCAAATGAAGTCGCCAGTTCACAGAGTTAATCAGTGAATTAGATCATATCTTTCAATTCGATAAATTGTGCAAAATGTTGTGTGAAAGATTGTATTCCGTATGATCCGAGAACTATTCAAAGCCTCAATATGTTAACTGAAATTTTTATAATTTTGAAAAAAATCATAGCTTTGAATTAAGTGTATTAATATAATTATATTGTCAATCGGAATATCAATTGTTTGTTATCCGCTATATCGCGGTCAGCGGAAGAATAAATATTTATTTTTGTTTAGAGTGTTGTTAAAAAATCATTCAAATGCGAATGACATCATTCAAATTTTACGTTCGTGATTTTTTAAAATTATTTCACCTGTATTGCTAGACGAATATTTCAATCATATATTTTGCTCCTACATATTTCTGTTTGCTTTTATGATCCCGCTATATGCGAAGCTATGGAATGCATGCAATAATCAGATTAAGCAAAGCTGATGGCAAAGAGAAGAGCGGAACGGACGGGCGGTATTAAAGAATGAAAATGGTTATTCAAACATTGCAAAATATACGCGCGCGCGTTTTGCTTTCTAACTTTCCCTCCCTACATTCGAATGAGCGTTTTAAAAGTTGTGCTTTATTATCTACACGAAAAAAAAAAAAATGAAATTTTATACAATATTATAATTAACATTATCATTATACAGGAAAATATTTTAATATCACTAAACAAATTTTGTTCAACATTTTATTTCTCAACAGCTGTTCTAATAGCTGTTTTTTGTAAATCGTTTTACACTGATAAAGGACATTTTTTAAAAAATTCCATCATCCTTCAATTTTTATAAACTCTGCTTTGAATTTCTTATGTAATAATACAAATTCATAATAAAATATATAATATATAGCTATAAGAAATTTAAATATTTTTTTACTGTATATGAAAATAAATGATGGTGATGGTATGAAGCCCCTTTTATTGTTTATGTGATACAATTTTATAATATATTAAAATAATAAAACTTATTGGCAATATTTGATAATAAAAGATTACACTGATTTACAAAGTCTTCCCAACATTTTAATTGTAATTTTTATGTATTTTACTTTATAAAATGAAAGAAAAAAGTTATAAATTTGTTAAATTTGTAGAATTTTTTAAAAAATAAAGTTCTTGATTTTTCAAAATTTGTGGGAGTGATGGAACTTTTTAAATTTTATGTTCTTTTTCAGCAGTAAAAATACTTAAAGATCATTATTCAGGTTGAGAAATAGAAACCTTATAAATGAATGTAATAAATAAAACCAAAATATTTGGATCATTTTCCGCAAGTTGATGTGGGAAGACAACTTTACGAATTTTACATAATGTCGCGTCATGCATAGAATTTCAGCGAAAAACCGCGTTTCGAGAGCGGAAGACGCGGGTATGTAGTCGGGTAAACGCTCGAATATTCTATTATTTTCGATTTGCCTGACGCAAACAACGTCGAGGGATTCAATAATTATCAGAGCATCCCCAAACATCGTTACTAACCCCAACCACCTCCGCTCGATTCGCTCTCTCTTTCACCCTCCCTCTCTTGCCAAACATTATGCACGGCATTTAATGAGATTGATGCAATCGTCCGATGCATTTAATCCTGCCAATTTACATTGCGCCCTAATATCGTGCGCTAGCATTCCGCTAATGGAGTCGCTAATGAGAAACAGAAACATTCTCCTCACTCGTTGTTGTTTTCAATAGATTAGACAACCACCAGCAGAAAATTGCAAACTGGCCGTTCCCTTCTGAGAGAAAATTCGCATTTTATTTGAGTACGCTATTTGCTTGATTTTTCGTCCAATTACAGAGGAAATTTTACATGGGAATTGTAAAATATTTACCACAGGCTAGATGCAAGTGAACATTTTACTTAATATAAAAAGTCGAAATCAAATCTAATTAAATCTTCCTTTCTTTTGGTCACAATCCCTTTAAATTGTTCTCTGTTTCTTTCCATCCGCCTTTTGTCCCACCACCGAAGTTTGAGTACGCAAAATTTCGAAAAAAAGCATCTATGTCCATTTTCGTTGAGAAAACGTTGATTTCATGTAATTCACAAGAGAAGAACCAGAAATGGAAACGCGCTTTTGAAATACGGTTTGTTGCAAAAGGTTGGTCCAGAACTGAATTGACTTTTTTTCGAAATATATAGTTGATACAAATATAATTCGGATTAATGCTTTTTCATCACCATTTCGACAAGGCAGCAGGCAACGTTGTATTCGGATTCGCATTAATCCGAAAATTAAATTCATAAGTTAAATTTATAATGTCAAATTATACTCAATTTAAGTTATTTTTAATCATTTTTGTAGGTCGTCATTGCTTCTACTTAATATGTCATTAAATTAATTATATAGAACAATGAAGTTAAATAATAATTTACTCAAGAAAATGTATTATTTAACTCAAGTTTATTATTTACATACTAAGTGCATATGTTAATATGGATGTTGTTTATTTTGAAACTACAGAAATCAATTGATTTACATTTTGACACACTTGGAGTAAAAATCACAAAATGTTATTTAACTCGAGAGATTAATTTATCATTGTTCTTTTAATATCAAAATATATATTTATATCATCTATGCATAAGATAAAAATCGATTAATCCTGAATTATTATAATAAATTATTTCCTCTTTTCCTTGAAGTCTATTATCTTGCTAAATAAATATTAATTAATTCAATAACATCAAAAAAATTTTTTTTAAATTAAGGAGTGTTTGAAACTAGGATTTAAAATTCTTAATATGAGTGCGAAAAACTATCTGTGCAACAAACTGCATTTCAAAAGCGCGTTTCCACTTCTGGACTTTCTCTTATTAGAGAACAGAGTTGTTGAACCTTCTTTTTAGATGCTTCGTTCAGCGAAACAAGCCCGAAAGTTGTTTGTAACAGCTAACGTCAATATTTTTGTTCGAAGCACCGCTCTATGAAACTCGTTCGTTGCAACAATCCCCTGAACGACTATAAGACTTGCTACTCTCGCGAATGTGTTGTCCGCGGTTGATTTCACCGCAGTGCGGATGTGACTTCGAAACCGATGTGAATACCGAACCAGGATTAGAGCACCGCGTGCATAGCAGTCATCCGGACTGACGTACCGACGATTAACGATTTTATGGAAGCTCATCTGATGGGATTATCGGATTACTTCCGTGTCGGTGCGAGTACTCCGCGCGCAGTATATTGCTCTCCGCGCCGTGGATTATGTTCTCATTCTTAAGATCGTCGCTGCCACCGACTGTGTCTCCTGAGAGATTTCAGATGTCCCCTGCAACCGAATCGCGGCGAAATTGGCCTCGTGACAAACGGATGATTCGAATACACAGGATCATCAACCCTAAGTCTGTTCTTTATTGCTGCATTCGACTGCATGAAAGATGTTTTGGCTGTACAATATTAGCTAAAATTTTTGGTCGTAAAACCTTACGCTCTAAAACCAACTGCAAGAAACAAAATAATAAATAATTTGGTTTATAATGACTTAAGCTGCGTAATAATTATATTTCACTGTCTTAGATAAATAATAAGTTTTAAACGAGTAAATGAATAGAAATGAATTTTGGTACAAAATTTATTAGATTTTTAGTATATGTATAAAGAATTGGTTTAATTTGTAATGCTACTTTCTTAAATTTGTAAATAAGTATTACAAAACGCGATTTTACAACACAACAATCAAAGTAAACAAAAAAATTAATAATAATCAATTAAAGAATTGTGTTCAAATTTTTTCATAAATGCTGAGATATAATAATAGGATTAATAATATAGATCTATGAAATTTTTATACTTTTGGTAATGCTTTGAGATGGACACTCATTCTTAAAACTTTCTTTCTTGCTTCCGCCAAATTTCAAATATATGTATAATATTATCTTATTTATTTTATTTTAAGTAAATTAATATATATTAATGCAACTACAAATAACAGATCTTTAATAAACCGAATCAATCACTTTCGTAATAAACTAAGTAAACCATAAATTGAAAATATTTAATTAAAGAAAATTATGTTTTTAATTAAGTATATATCATGCGTAATAAAATAATATTCAAATAATGTTTTATTTCTTGTGTTATTTTCACGCTATATAAATGCTTTATGATTATTTATTATTTATTATTATTATTTATTATGTTCCTTTAATTTGAGAACAGATAATCAAAATCTTTACGTTATTAACTTTCTTTCATAGTACTAACTGCTTTCGATTAAATCTCTTTTCTTATGTTTCAAGTTAATGTCTAGCCATCTTTCTGCATTATTTGAATCATAATTCTCAGAATTCTTATTTTAATTATTGCATTCTATTTTTGCTAGATAATAATCGAAATAAACTGAATTAGCTATCTGTATTTCTAGAGTAACAACTTAAATCGATATATTTCCAAAATAAACGATCTAATTTATTTCTGGATGAATACGCACTGGGTTAAAACATGGATAAAAGTGATAATTCAGAATTTAATCGCAAAATGATATGAAATTTTACTTTACTATTCTATTATAGTTTTTCTCTATATATTGACATTAAAATACTTATTAAAATGTTATGCGTTATTGTTTGATACTGTGCTGTTTTTATCGCTTTATTTTCATTTCATGGAACATGTCAGGAATAAGTTGAGGTACATATATTGTTTCCAATATTATTAAATATGATTCACTTTGAAATAATGATTCCAATGCTATTATTATTTCTAGCCTTATTATCATATCTGTTGAAAGACGGAGCAATGAGATACAAAAACGATTTCCGGTTACCTCCACTGAAAAAAAAAGTAAAAAAGTAACGGGCATGCTCGCGAACTCGCAATTTATATCGTCATAAATATATTTACGGTTATGACTCCGATATCGCTAAACGCACGACGCTTTATTTCA